TTGGATGTTTTTGAGCTCTGGCCTATTTGATATATAGTTCGACCTACTACTAGAAAAATAGACACAATCATTTTGCCACCGTTTCCTCGACCGGGCCATCTTAAAGGGGGGATTCACGATAAGAACGAAGGTCGAAGAAGGGGAAAAATTGCATAGTTGAGAGACAGGCGGACCTTTTGCAATTGGCAGCGAGTAATAGCAGAGGTGGTCAACGGTTGAAGAAAAACCACGAAAAACGGCCTAGAATCTGAGGAATTGGGACCCATTTTTTGCTTGTTGATTCCTACATGTGTGCTGATCTCTTCGCTGCTGACAGTCGTCAGTGAACCGCGTCATTGTTACAGCGGCTACCATGGCGGCTCATTCAACGGGCGTGGGTGGCGCGTTGCCGGTACGCTCCTACCGTGTCGCTGAAGGCATAACCCTATCTGCAAAACGCGCATCGTCCTGCACCCTTTAAGCGAGGGATTACGATAAGACTAGGTTGGCTTCTAGTGAAAGTGGGAATGCTTACTAATACCCCAGTGGTGGAAAAAGCAAAAAAAAACCCGCGTGCCGTTTTGCTAGGTATAGTTCTCCTTGTTCGAACTCCGACCTTATCGTGATCTGCTTTATAAAATTACATATTTCGTGTCATCATGTTGCACAACAGTAAACAGTTAATGACAATTCGCAAAAATCGGCGAATTTTTTTTGAATAATTCAAAATTTAAATATCTATGCACTCGTTGGAAAGAGTTTTCGCTGCGCTGAAGATAGATGTGGATGTATAGGTATTACAGAAGGGAACAGTAATTCATCAGAAATGAGAGAAGCGCACTGAGGTCTACAAAAAAGGGAAATCGAATTTGCATTGATTGTCGGCTGGACTCTAACATACCATGTATTTTGTAGCTGTCATGCAACTATTACAAAAATTATAGTCTCCTTCCCTTGGGGAATCGAAACTAAGCAAGAATCCTCCATGGGGAAACACGAGGAATATCACCATCAGAGAACTTAGCTTGTGCGTTAAGGAGTTAAAGCATGAGCTAAGGTTACCTGATCTTGCACGGCTACAACTAAACATTCATCTGATCAAACTATGCCAATATTAAAAGACAGTCGGTCGTAGAGGCAACATGACGGGGAACGTGCTATTTTCAGAGAAGCAGCCTCAGAAGCTGATTCTCATATTCACAGCTACAGAGGAATACCACATTCGTGGAGATTGAAAAAGTCGCGAACTGAAGCGCACGCCCATCAGTATGCGTCTTCACACTTTTCGCTGTTATACGATGAGCTCGCTGAATAAGTAACTAACTTCTTTCTAGCCACATGGAAGGGAAAGCTTTCAGCCACGTAGCAATTTCGGAGGATAATCTAGTCATTTATATCTGGTGAAGGATTGGTTAGCCGTTCAGGAAACAAGTGAGAAACCACAACCCAATGAAAAATGCAGCTGCCGATTATGCGCCTAGATTCAAGAGACCTGCTTCCGTGCTGGTTGGACACAAAGCTCTTTGTCATCATTCTTTAGTCTCATCCTCCAAAATATGAAGTGGAAGACAAAAGTGCACGTTTGATGTTAGGGACAAAAGCCACAGGTTGTATCAAAACTCCCTCTTTATGAGCAATCTCCCTCTTTCCAGTTGAAAAAGCGACCCATACATCACGAAAGTATGCAGTTGCTATAACCATAAATTTCTACTGGCTCGATTTTCAAGATTGATTTTCGTTTAGGAAGGAAATGCAAGCAAGGCTACCTTATTTTTCTTCATTTTCCCCTTCAGTTGGTCCTGTTTGATGGGTTTTTCCCAATGGTTGACGTGCTCAACCTCAGCGCTTACACTTGTGCAGATTCAAGCCTGGAGCAGGACTGTTTCATGGAAGGGAACATCAAATATCCGGAAAAACGGTTCCAGGATCGACATGTGTGCCTTAGGAAGCTTTTTGTAAGATGTTATTTTGGTGCTTTTTTTGCTTACAAGGGAAGGATGGTAGGTCGAAGTGGCCGTTTTGAAATGAAATGTATACCTCCTGATGCGTCTCCAGACGCTGATTCCAAATCTGCCTTCCAAATCTGCTAAACGACTCTCCGAACGGAGTTATGAAGCGTAATAGCTCAGTGGTGATGGTCCGGGGTGGCAGGTAAAAGCTCGTAGGATCGGTTCCTTTGCAAGTTTGTTGCTTTGCTTTTGTCCGCAACACTTCTAGAGACAAAAGCAAAGCAACCAATTTGCAAAGGAACCGATCCTACGAGCTTTTACCTGCCACCCCGGACCATCACCACTGAGCTATTACGCTTCATAACTCCGTTCGGAGAGTCGTTTAGCAGATTTGGAAGGCAGATTTGGAATCAGCGTCTGGAGACGCATCAGGAGGTATACATTTCATTTTAACGGCCACTTCGACCTACCATCCTTTCCCTTGTTAGCTGGCATTCAGAGCAGAGCATTCAAACCGCTGGTGACACTAGGACTGACTCCAGGACTGGGAATAAATACAAGAGAGAACGATGGTTGCTCCCAAAATCCTATCCCCTCCCTAAAGCTTAGTCCCAAGTTCTATCAGTGGCCCATACATCACAAGTGACGACGGCCTCCAAGTAAATCTGGTTAGTAGTGGTTCATAGTGATAGCTGATTTTTGGTAAATGATAGTTGTAATTAGTGACAACTGATAGAATACAACTGCAACAGGCTAATCATTTCATTGGCAAAATTACATTTTGTGGAGGCCGTCGTCACTTGTGGTGTATGGTCTGCACCCGACGCTCTTCTCGTTTTTGAAAAGGGATGGGTACCTCTGCTGCATTATTAGAGCAGCTTAAACCTGGACGCACGCTTGCAGTTACGCGAAACCAATTTAAGCAGTAGGAAGATTTTGCTCATAGTTGTTTTCACTTCTCGTTTTGACAACTGTTGAATAGCTTCTAAGAGACACTAGCTGTGACTGTGCAAGACCGCTTTTGACCAGCGTTTCCAGGGACGTCGTAATGGTCTATGGTACCTCGACGACCTCGTTGAGCTCGTACCGTGAACCATGTTTCCGTGGGAAAATCTTCTGATGTCGTCGGTGTAGAAGGCTGTCTATGTAACCTTTTGATAGATTAGAATGTGCTCTTTAATATGCAGTTGAGCTCATTTGATTTGGTTTTTGCAACGTGTATTCAAATCCGTTTTGAATGTGGAGGGAAGTGACTCTTTTTGCACCCCCCCCCCCCTTATACGTGACATAATATAGTACTAGGTCGGTCAAAAAGACTTCGAGGATTTTGCACATCGAGTATTTCCCTGTATTATTTTAGTGATGATTTCTTTTGAAACTATTCCATCAATCAATTCGGGAGTCATCTTATAGAGAAATCAGCCCTTTTCATCTCCACATTAGCTCGTTTTCTGGATAGAATCTACAATTTGGTATACTACCTGGAATAGTTGTACGTCAGAAAATAGCGAATTCCAATTGTTATAAAAGGATAAAGGATAAAGCATTTGCCGTTGATCAATCCCTTTTTGGGATGCGGCACGCATTCTACTTCCATTTGTACATTCGCAGTGGCGTTTGAATGCGATGTGGCCTATACAATGACTTGCGGGGCCAGCCGATGTACAAGTCAGTGTTTTTTATCCTCCCAGACAAGTCTGGTACCAATTAACCGACCCCGGAGGGATGGAAGGCTTGGTTGGCCCGGGCGACTCACGACCCAGGATTTGATCCCCGGACCGCTCGCGTGGTAAGCGCGCCACTTGCCACTACACCACTTCCGCCCCTTCTGTATAAATCGACCATTACTACATCGTTCACCATTTCATATTTTTATTAAAAATGTATTGAGGCACTCAATATCTTTTTGATACCAACACCCTTTGTATGCAGTGGCCAGCTTCGTCTGCTTGCAGACATAACCACACAAACCGATGACGGTCTCAAACAGAGTACTATTTTCCGGGTAGCCCGACAGATGCCCATTGCTACGGCAAGAAGGCGGAGTCAGGCGGACGGGGTTCGTAGCGCTGCGCCGTGGCAATCTAATGGCGTGCGAATGGTTCGTTTGCTGTTTTAATTTGACGCGAAGTAAGTGCAGTACGCGCGATGACTCGCCCAACCAAGCCATTTTGCCGCGCGACGGGCCTCCTGTCGGGTACCCATATTTTCCTGCCAACCTACGCTAGTGTACTTCATCTATCAATTGCCCATAACTTACAATTACCATTTGCCAACAATCGGCTATCACTACAAATCGTTAATCTCAGGCTTTTTTTTTTGAGGAAGTCGTCACTTTAAAGTGAAGTTGGCAGTGCAGACCACTTGGACAGCGTCGGACACAAAGGTAGTGTAAAAGTTTATACTGGAAATTGTAATAATTCGATGTACGACGCGATTTTTCATTTTTTTCGCACTTTATGATGACCCTATTATTAAATCTTACGTAGCACATAGAAAACATATGATGAGGCGCACTCGTTCATTGAAACCCAGTATCAACACATTAGAGCACAGCTGATATACACACAAGTACGTGGTCACGTCGGCCATGGCAACGAAACGCCACCCATATATAATAAATACAATGCGATGAACTGAGAAACGAGTAACGCGAATATCTCCACGATAACTCTTAGAAGAAAATAGAAATCTAAAAATTCATTTTTATTATAAGGATTAAAGATTACACCAGCCAGAAAGGATCGGATAGCGCATTGATAGAGTTTTGCATTCACGACGATCACACTCGGCACTACGCTCATTCACATATACCCATAGAAATAAGGAGCTTTTCTCTAGTATTCTCTATATACAACAGCAATGAATTAAATAAGTAGCGTTCGGTATTTTGAATAAGCGCTTCTGAAATGACCCGCTTATGTTTAGACAAAAGTCAGCATTGATGGATCGGAGCTGACTGAGGAGATACGCTGAATGATATGACTTAGATCTCGTAATCGGCAGGAGTAGTCGTCGTAGATTGCGGCGGCTCCTCGTCTTCGTCGCTGATTGAATTCATGCTGGAAGCTCTTAGGATGGTCGTGTTCCTGATGGCATGAGGAGCAGAAACAACGACTCCTTGACTTGCACCAGCTTCACGACCTGCCGGCACTTTGTTGCTGCCATCTGCAACAATCACATGATCACACTTATGATTCCTCTAACAAGGGGAGGTCTTTCAGGTGTACCCGCGCTTTCTCAAAACGGTTTTTTGCATGATGTAGTGGGATGTGCGTGGATTACAGAACTGTAGTCCATTTCCGCTAAATGGCTCTCTGAATGCCAAAAAAGGAGTGAGCAAATGGTCCTTGGTTCGATTCTCCGCGGCGACAAATTTTTTGCATTGTGATTTGACGCAACAAAATTGGCACCAAATACGTCAACACCAGGAATTGATGTCATATTTATAATTAGGCTTGCAAAAAACCCTTAAAAGTAAGCGTATACCGAAAAACTGGTGGGAGAAAGTTGTGACGCAAGAACGGCACCAACGTGCCGTCGAACAGCGTCATAGGGGCCCAAAATGATGTCGGAGCTGAAAATGAATGTCATATTCGTAATCAGGACACCTGATTACCCTTGTATTCGAAGTTTCCAAGAAAATCAAGACTTTGACCCAACTTCGAAAAATTGCTCCATGAGTAAGTAAACTCTGTAGCACGTCAGGCTCGACGGCGAACTTCTTGGAAATGACCTCCTCTAGATCCTCATCAAGGAATGAGAAATGTTCCTACCGAACAGAATAGTAGACACCCAAGCTGATGACGGTCGGGAGAGGGGACACCCGCAATGCAGTAGTTTTCTGCTAGTTCTCCACACGGAGCTTGCCCCCAAGCGACTGGAAATACTTGAAGAGTTACTTATGTCTGGTGGAAATTTTCGAAGTTAGGTCAAAGATGCGAGTTTCCTCGAAACTTCGGCTATTCAACAAATTTATCAAAAAGTTCGCTGTGCCTAGGAGCATCACACAGTTGAAAAGTAATATGCAAAAGTTTTACTTGTGAAGGGTTAGTGTTTTACTTCTCTAACACTATAGTCACTATGGAGGTTGGTCACCATTATAGTTCTCTTATTTCTTTTATTTTCATTCTAGCTTTGTTTTCTTTTTTTTCTTCTTTTTTAACCTGTTTTGTTCTGATTGTGTTTGTGATTGGACTGATAATCACCATTGATCTGTGTTTCCCAGGCTGTTTTTTTTTTTTTTTTTTTCTTTGTTCTCTAGTTTGTTCAATGTACGCAAGGTACACTGTACTAAATATAAATACGATTTGGAAATGACCTCCTCTAGATCCTCATCAAGGAATGAGAAATGTTCCTACCGAACAGAATAGTAGACACCCAAGCTGATGACGGTCGGGGAGAGGGGACACCGCAATGCAGTAGTTTTCTGCTAGTTCTCCACACGGAGCTTGCCCCCAAGCGACTGGAAATACTTGAAGAGTTACTTATGTCTGGTGGAAATTTTCGAAGTTAGGTCAAAGATGCGATTTTCCTCGAAACTTCGGCTATAGAGGTAAATCAGTGCGCTGGTTAAGAATATGGCATTGTTTTTTGGAGCCGCCGCTATCTGGCGCCATTTCGACGTTACAACTTTGTTTGCCTGCTTTCGGTGAAAACTTACCTCATCGGGGTTATTAACGGTTCTGATCATGAATAATACATCTATTATGGCGTTTATGCAACTTGGAGCCTCGAGATCGAGATCTGGAAGTGCCAACAAGAAACGCAAAAAATTTGCGCATCTCGAGGATCCGAACCAGCAACCCCGTCCAACCGTGCCAATTGAAGTCCATATCGCTATCCACTACACCACCGACGCATCCGAATGCTGAGTAGCCAAATGCACTCATGAAACTTCCACACGCTCTTCACTACATAGCATGTCATCACTACGACAACTTTCCAATTTTGGCCAAACTTCGCGTTGTTTTCGATACAGAGCTTGCGAGAACCCTTCGTTATGCAAGCAGTCCACGCCATAAATGAAACAAACCACGGTGAGTGCGCAAAAATTGCACTATCCGACGAAATTATTTTCACTCCTTTTTTGGCATTCAGAGCCATTTAGCGGAAATGGACTACAGTTCTGTAATCCACGCACATCCCTCTACATCATGCAAAAAACCGTTTTGAGAAAGCGCGGGTACACCTGAAAGACCTCCCTCGTAAGATCTGGGGAAATGATAGAAGGAAATTCCAAAGAAGCGGGGCCGCAAAGTGTCTTCCTCGAATCAGTGACTAACGCAGTTTCATGGGTACGCGCGACGAGAGAGCAGAGACACAAACGGGTCAGCGAAGGACTCGCAGCGCGTACTGTAGCGATATCCGTCAGGTTGATAGAATGTACTACAGCACATTTCCACCATACAATACGCGCCACGACTCGTCCGCTGACCCGTCTGCGTCTCTGCCTACTCGCTGCGCGACGGGCCTACCTGTCGGGTGGTCGGGGTTTATATACATCACGAGAAATAACACAGGTAGTGGAGTCATTTGATGATGATAAGAAGAAAAAAATGCCCAGTCTACAAGGAAGTGGCTCGTAAATGGATAAAAAATGTGTGGCCGCCGGCCGCGATTTAGCAAGGCCTTATACAAGGCAATGACTGCCTTCGTGGCAGTTCACACCTGTAGATGGCAGACTGTGGATTATGATTGGTTGATGAGGAGGAGGTGCCGGTTGTGTCGAGCGAAAGTGGAAAGGCATAACCAGGCATTGCCATAATGTCGCACCTATCGTGCAGTCTTGTAGGACTTAAGCCGTTTGGACAGAGCGAGCACCCGAAGTAAGCGTGAATTATAATGTTCTGCTGTAGTCACGTACAATGCGCGACGCATTGACGCGCTAAGTGCGTGTGCTCGCCTCCCACTATTCGTTTTCTCTGCGCTCTCTCAAAAGAGAAGAGAGCAAACTCGCCAACAATACTGAGCGCTGTTCATGTAGGAGGTGGAGGATGGCACGCAAGTCGATTGGCTTCGCGTAGAATGAGCGACCCGGGACGCCTCCCCTTCGCCTGAGCGCGAGCGGCGAGCGCGCGAAAGCTTACGACGCCTCTCCATTTTTGAACCCTGCTGGGCTCAGAGCAAGGTGTAAGGCCTCATTGTTTTGGCGAATCCGCTAGGACTGTTGGTTTCCAGGAAGCGCGTCGAGCGCGGCGCACGCATTGTGCTCACCCTCTCTAAACGGTTTATCACGTCTTGTAGAAAGCGAATGATCTACGCGCTAAAGTCCACTCCACAAAATTTGGAACGCGCTCTCTCGATAGCAAGACAAGACAAGGTAAGAGATTAAAACTCGGCCACGTTTTGAACCGCTTTCTCAAATCAATTTATAAAATATAAATGCAATACGACATCGATCAAACAATATATTACACTATAAAACTCACCGCGATCCGAGTGTTCCATGTTAGCGAGCGACGGCTCAGACGAAGCACTTGGGAACATTTGCATATGATCTTTTCCAAGACGTTGAATCGGGGGCGGGGTTGCTGCCTGTAAGAGTGGTAGATTTTTTAACATTGAAGCTGAACATGAGAGCAACATGGCAGTTATTTTACCTCCTTTTTAGCTCCCAAATATACATATGGGTGTGAATTCACTAGGACAGAAAGCGACCTTTTCGTGTTTCGCAGTGCGAAACATTTTTCGCTGCAGAGAAGCTCAGGTCCACTTGATTTTTCGCTGCGAGAACCTCGGGTCCACTGATGATCAGAAGGGGGACCTGAGGCTCGCAGCGAAAAAATGCTTCGCGCTGCGAGAGGCGAAAAATTCGTTTTCTGTCTCAGTGCACCCAGAGATAAATACACAAAACTAGCGATGAGTGGAAGTTAGTGAACACAAATTTTACGTTGGAAATAAGCAACAAATCAAAAGCACACCCCACGATTGAGTTCTAGGTCCGTCGTTTTATGGTTAGGATTCGAGCTGTCAAAAGTTCTTGACAAACTCTATCGCTTTTGTCTTTACTACCGTCTTCTTGGACTTTCGCTTTCACTTCTTGTGCAAAAAAACACCCTTGGTGACTTTGTGAGCTGTTACGAGTGTGACACCTGATGATGGGGCATTTTACTATGCAAGTATAAGGGGCAAGAATCAATGAGACGGGTCAAGTACGATCATCTTACCGAACGTTCGTTGGTCTGCTTGGCTGCATCCGATTCTTCTGCTTCTTGCGCTTGTTTCTCTATAGCTTTTCGCCGCTCCTCACGGTCCATATACCAAATGGTAACGGCGAATCTGAAACAAGCTTCATTTTAGATACCTACAAATAGTTCTAGGGAAGAAATTCTCACTGATAGAGGATTCCGTTAAGCCCATTTCTCAAAAGCACCTCTCTCACGGGGCTTTAGAGCTAAGAAGCCTTTTCAAAGGACATACATAGAGTACGGAACGGAAGGTATATGTAGTACTGATGGAGCGGAGCGCCACGACAGTCACATACATAGAGTACGGAACGGAAAGGTATATGTAGTACTGAGGAGAGAGCGCCACGACAGTCCACGATTGGGACCCCCGTAGGGACCTTGACTGGTAAATTACTTGCATGGGAGGATAAATAGCTTGAATCCCGGTCCAAAGCGCTTCGATACAGTTTCCCAAGCATTGTAGTGGCCAAATGAGCATTCAGCCACTTCCATTATTCCCAACATAAGCCAAACACATGGCGCACACTCAATACAAATGGGATAGCTGGTTGTGTCGGAAAGAAGCACACATCGAAAGCAATATTCTCTTACCGTGGTCTAAATACCGGCATCACTTCGTGTGGATTACGTCTGTCCGACCAGAAGAACACAAGGCGATCTGCCTTTGGATCGATATCCATTGGTATCATTGAGGTTTCCGGATAGAGACGAAGTGTTCCTCCGTGCTATAATTGGATGCTTCGAATGATGTGATGAATAACATTTCTATTCACATACTTCTGAAGCTCGTAATGGCTTCTGGTATGCTTACGGCTGTACGACTACGGTACTCGCGTCTATTTCTTCTTAACAGTACTGACAACTCTACCTTTATTATATCCCAGTCCTCATTGCAGTAGTAAATTGTGGTTATACACCGACCATCCTTTACCGGGTTATCAACGTGCTTCACATAGCGTGTACCATTTCCAGGATAGATTGCAAGCATAGCCTGGAAATACAGGGAATGAGAAGATATGCAATCGCTTTTTCAGAGCAGAGTTTCAAGCACAAGAAATAAACAATATCTATACCGTAGCAGTTTTCCAGCAACAACAGTAGTTTTTGTTTCACAAGTATGCTAGGTTGTGAACAAAACTTTCGCCCCAGGCGGGACGAGTAGTTTTTGTCATTTTATTGTGTCATTTGTCGTGTGTCCAAGGCAACACACATAACATACAAATCCCTGCTAGGGCTAGTTCCACTAAAGTCACTGAGGTGCAAAAATTCATCCCCCATGCAAAAGTGAGCCCTTGGGTAAGTGGTTCTCGATTGGGGATCATATTTTTTCTATGGGGTAGGGGCCGTCCGTGAGGAGATTCGTGAATGTATTATTTCTCAAAAAGTTGGAATAAGATTCAGAGGGATTTTGTTGTGAAGAGTTCAGAAAGCCGAGTTACAAAATTAGTACATTTTCGGGATTCCTTCATTCGATTCACTGTATACACTCCCTCCCTCGCTGCTTGACAGACTTCCCTATCTTTACTAACCAGGAAAGTCTTTCAGGATATAGAGCGCTTATCCAGAACGGTTTTGCATGTTATAGAAGCACGCGCAGGGAGCATAAACCGAGAACCTTTTTTTCTGAGCGACTCTGGAT